TAGGTAGGTAGGTAGGTAGGTAGGTAGGTAGGTAGAGACAGATAGATAGACAGACAGACAGATCTTTCTACCTCTCAAAGGAAGCGTTTAAATCCGTATGCTAATTTTTCCCTTAAAAGTCAGTAACGTTAAAGAGTAACAGAAGATTTGAGTCAGCTTCTTCTTCCTTACCTTGGTCCAACCAGGAATAAGTAAGACAAGACCGACTGCTGTCTTCTCAAAGATCATTATTAGCAAGTAGAGAAAACATTGGCCAAGCCAAGCAGAGGCCTGAGGTGGATCCCCTGAAAGGAAGCGAAAATAGAATTAAACCCTTGATTTATACACCAACTATAAAAGCTAGCCATGGGGGGGATACGTATCCCCCCACAAATTCACCATCTTCAAGAGTTACGGTTATAAATAGTTATAAATAAATATTCCTTTGTGCGTCTCATAAATGGGTAGCCAGTTTCTCTTATATCAAGAATTAAAAAACAGACCAAAGACATCGACATGCCTTAATATACCTGCTGATGGAGGGGGGGGGGAAGGGCAAAAATATCACACAATCAGTTTCCAAGATTCTGTAACCAAATCCCTCTTTTCTTGCAATAAACCTGATATCAATAAGAGCCGTGGTGACGCAGTGTTTAGAATGCAGTATTGCAGGCTAATTTTGCCCACTGCCAGCAGTTCGATCCTGTCGGGGCTTGAGGTTGACTCAGCCTTCCAGCCTTCCAAGGTCGGTAAAATGAGGACCCAGATTGCTGGGGGCAATAAACTGACTCTGTTAACCGCTTAGAGCGGGCTGCAAAGCACTGTGAAGTGGTATATAAGTCTAAGTACTATTGGGAAGGAAGGAAGGAAGGAAGGAAGGAAGGAAGGAAGGAAGGAAGGAAGGAAGGAAGGAAGGAAGGAAGGAAGGAAGGAAGCATGATGGTGCAGTGGTTAGAATGCGGTACTGCAGGCAAACTCTGCCCACTGCCAGGAGTTCAATCCTGACTGGCTCAAGATTGACTCAGCCTTCCATCCTTCCAAGGTCGGTAAAATGACAGACGGACAGGCGGACGACCTGATGACCATTTTACGACCTTTCTTGCCACTGCCGTTGTTAAGTTAATCACACAGTTGTTAAGTGAATCTGGCTTCCCCCATTAACATGGCTTGTCAGAAGGTCACAAAAAGAGGATCACATGACCCCGGGACACTGCAACTGTCATAAAGATGAGTCAATTTGCCAAATGTCTGGATTTTGATCATGCGACCGGGGCGATGATGCAAAGGTTGTTAAGTGTGAAAAACGGTCACAAATCACTTTTTTTAGTGCCATTGTAACTTTGAACGGTCACTAAATGAATGGTTGTAAGTCAAGGACTACCTGTACTTGAAACCACAGTTGTAGGGCTCAATTATGGTTGCAGCTGAAAGACTACCTGTTCTCTGAGGCAAATCTCATTTACAAATTAAAGGCTACCATTATAACAGATGTAACAGAAAAAAGCTTCTAGATAAGTGGTGGTGAAACTATGGCACGGGTGCCAGAGGCGGCACTCAGAGCCCTCTCTGTGGGCACGCGCGCTGTCGCTGGGTTTTATAAAACCTTTTTGCTTTAGGCCTCCGCCATCGTGTGCAAAAAAAAAAGTTTCAATCAGTCCATTTCAACTTCTTGCGGGGAAAAAAAAAGATCTTGCAAAGTTGGAATTGATTGATTGACCTTTTTAGTCCCACCCAGTCTGCTGTTACCACCGCAGCCACACCCACCCAATGGGCCACACCCACCCAATGGGCCACACCCACCCGGCACCCGACGATGCATAAGTGGGTTTTGGGTTGCAGTTTGGGCACTTGGTCTCTAAAAGGTTCGCCATCACTGTTCTAGATGGTCTTCAAAGGCAGGTCCAGGTAGAGCATGTTGCAGCAGTCAAACCAATAGAACGAAACTGAACAGAATAACAGAGTTGGAAAGGACCTTGGAGGTCTTCTAGTCCAACCCCGATCAAGCAGGAGACCCTATACCATTTCAGACAAATGCCTGTCCAGTCTCTTCTTAAAATCCTCCAGTGATGAAGCATCTACAACTTCTGGAGGCAGGTTGTTCCACTGATTAATCCTTTTCACTGTCAGGAAATTTCTCCTCGGTTCCAGGTTGCTTCCCTCCTTGATTAGTTTCCCTCCGTTGCTTCTTGTCCTGCCTTCAGGCGCTTTGGAGAATAGGTTGATCCCCCACAGTGGTGGGATTCAAATACCTGAACAACTGGTTCTCTGCATGGATGCAGGCCTGGGCATCCAACGTCTAGAACGGACTTCTGGAAGTGACATCCATGCACTTCTGGCAGGTTGTTCTAGGCCTGGGAGGCCTCCTTCAGGCCTCTGAGCCCTAGAACAGACTTCTGGAAATGGCATCCACGTACTTCCGGCAGGCTGTTCTAGGCCTGGGAGGCCTCCTCCAGGCCTCCGAGGCCTAGAACGGACTTCCGGAAGCGGTATGCAATCAGCCGGTTCTCCGAACTCAACAAAATTTAGCTACCGGTTCTACCGAACCGGTGCGAACCAACTGAATCCCACCACTGATCCCCCCTCTCTTTTTTGTGGCAGCCCCTTAGACATTGGGACACTGCTATCAATACTCGTGATTTAGGATCCCGAGCAGTTGTGGATCTAGGATGTGAAAGAAAGATCAGGGTTTTTTTCCCCCGTGGTTGAAGTCCAATGCAAGAATTCATGGTTCAGCTGAGCAAGAGGAATTTGGCGAGAAAGAATGTTTTGGAAGGATCCGCTGTTATGAGTTGCCGGTTCTTTCTGAATTCAACTTTTGTGGAAACAGCCTTTCGACCTACATAGAAAACGTCCAGATGTTCTCTTTGGGGGATACAGAAGGAGCCGTGATCTTTCCAAACGTGACACACGGAATTTTAGAGGCATCCCCTTGGCTTCTTCGATCCCATCTCCATCCAAAGACATAATATAGGAGCAGTCTGGAATCAATCCAGAAAAATATAATCTAGCTCTAGATTTCTGTGGTCTTGAGCCAAAGCCATTTGGAGAGTGTTCTTTCCCCATCTCCTGGGTGAGACGGGAAGACAATTCCCTTGGAGATGCCAAATATCTTTTTTTCTGACAGCAAACGCCTTGCATATTGCAAATTGAGGACAGAAATATCAGGAAAAGACATTCCTGAATCCAGATTTTGCAAAGGCATGACGTGGCTCCTTGTAAATGGCTCCAAGAATTCCTGTTCATTGCACATGGACCTCTTAGCTCAAGCACTTTCCTCCCTCAGGAATGTGATGGAGAACATTCCTAGCTAATGGCATCTGTGGAGGGGGGAGGAAGCAAAAGCTTTCAGAGTTTATTAATTTAAGACAGGTGGCCAGATAAATTTGCAGGATCGAGAAAAAAGGGGAGGGATCCAAGATATGTCAGCTGGGTTGTGGTGTTGTGATGCAAGCGATGCCCCTTTTCTGCGGGTGTCAAGACGATGGCTGCACACCTCAAAGCATGTTGCATCTTGACATCTACTAGGTTGTCTATTTCAGGGCTTTCCAACCTTTTCACCCATTGTACCACTTTTAGGATATGGCAACATCCGAGTACCACCAGTCGCCTAGCAAGGTGTCAAAAACTTGATGACCAAAAAAAAAAAAAAAGGAAAAAACAGATAAAAGTACAGGTAGTCCTCGACTTACAACAGTTCGCTTAGTGACTGTTCAAAGTTACAATGGCACTGAAAAAAGTGCCCCCCAAGCCACAGCCGAGCAAGACACCTGCCTGCCCACCCGGCAGCGCTCTTCCTCCTGTCCGAGGTTTCCATTGTTGAGGATTGGCAGCAGGGGTGGGGTGGGGTGTGTATGGTTTTTATTCCCCCCGTCTGCTGGGTGATTGCAGCAGGTTTTGGTCACTTCACATGACCCTGGGACACTGTGACCGTCATAAATATGAATCAGTTGCCAAGCATCTGAATGTAAATCACAAGATCCTGGAGATGCTGCAACATTCCAGCTGATCCGCGCTTCTTCTGGGCTCAGCAGAAGTGTCAGGATCAGCGCCGAGCTCCAGCTGGGGCCTGGCGCTGATCCTGGCGCTTCCGCTGAACCCTGACAGCCCTGCAGCTGCAGCCATCTCTTGCTCAGGCTTGTGCGGTGCTGCCATTGGTTCAGCTCATTCCCCTCCCCTGCTACCACTTTTCTAGGATGGTCGCGTACCACCTGCCAGGTGCCAATGTACTACAAGTGGTACCCGTACCACTGGTTGAAAAGCCCTGGTCTATTTGATAACCTCCTCAAGATATCAGCAACAGAAAGGATGAATGGAGAAAATGCAACTTGTAGACCAGTGTCTCTCAACCTCAGCAATTTTTAAGCTGAGAGGACCAGCTCCCAGAATTCCTTAGTCAGCCATGCTGACTGGGGAATCCTGGGAGTTGAAGTCCACAGGTCTTAAAATGGCCAAGCTTGAGAAACACTGTTATAGAACTGGGAATAAACTAGAAATCTTCAATTTTACCTGTACACATTTTACATAGAGTTACATCTCCAGAACTGCTGAAAGTGGATTCGATTTAGTTCCACTTTATTCTCAGCCATAAAGCACATTGGGCTGTTCGGGGCCAGTCACCACCACCTAGTCCAGGGGTCCCCAACCTTGGCCACTTTATGACTTGTGGACTTCAACTCCCAGAATTCCTCAGCCATCCTTTTGACCAGGATAATATAAGGTCTCTTGCTTTGAGCAGGGGGTTGGACTAGAACAGGGCTTTTCAACCAGTGGTACGGGTACCACCTGTGGCACATTGGCACCTGGCAGGTGGTACGCGACCATCCTAGAAAAGTGGTAGCGGGGGAGGGGAATGAGCTGAACCGGTGGCAGCACCGCACAAGCCTGAGCGAGAGATGGCTGGAGCTGCAGGGCTGTCAGGGCTCAGCGGAAGCGGCAGGATCAGTGCCGCTTTCCAGCTGATCGGCACTTCTTCGGGGCTGTCAGGGCTCAGCGGAAGTGCCAGGATCAGCGCCAGGCTCCAGCTGGAGCTTGGCGCTGATCCTGACACTTCTGCTGAGCCCAGAAGGAGCGCCGATCAGCTGGAATGTTGCAGCATCTCCAGGGTCTTGTGATTTACATTCAGATGCTTGGCAACTGATTCGTATTTATGACGGTCACAGTGTCCCAGGGTCATGTGAAGGGACCAAAACCTGCTGCAACCACCCAGCAGACGGGGGGAATAAAAACTAAACACCCCCCACCCCACCCCCGCTGCCAATCCTCAACAGAAATGCTCACAATGAAAACCTCGGACAGGAGGAAGAGC